GCTCTCTCTCCTGCTCTTGCTCAGATCTCAGCTGGTCTCCTCTGCCTCTGGCAAGGTGCTTCCTTAAAAAATCGTAACGTGATGCACACGTGAAGCCGAGCCAGCAGGTCAACACAGCGGGCAGTGCTGCCACCACCTGGCCCGGGAGAGCCCTTCTGCCCAAAGCAGGAAGCCGGTGGCAGCGCCCACACAGGCCATCGTGGGAGAACAGGAACATGGGACACGTCCCTTCCTGGTCATTTCCCCCCCCTTGCAAATGCAGCCGACAGTGCTGCTTTTTCAAGGAGGAAAATGGGTGGGTGGGTGGGAGGGGGGGGGTCTTTAACCCTTTTCTTGCTCTGCCGTTTTTTGAATGAAAAAAGCCACCCCAAGCTGCTCACACCTCCACTGGGGAAAGCTTAGGGGTGCCCATACTTTTTTTTTCCACAACAGGAGCACAGGGAGCTCATGGATTTTTTTTTTTAACTGAGAATACAGAAGGGGGAGAAACGATCGGAGAGCCTCCCCTCCCCACACCATCCTCCTCCTCCAAAACCATTGGCTGCCTTTGCAAAAATACCCACGTGCCCAAGAGCTGCCGACCCCCGACTGACAGGCGGCACGGCTAGAAAAACTTCAAACTGGTGCATCATTGCAACACTTAAGATATTTTAAGAACTGCATTTCTCTTTTCTTTTGTACGATTTTACTGTTTTATACGAATTGCAGTTATGTGACTTGTCCTGGCCTAAGAACCGATTCGTAAACTAAACTGAAACTCCAGGGACACAGGGCGATTCCAGATCCAGAGAGCGTGAGACGAATTTGACTCTCTAGTTGACTAAACCAGGGAGGGACTAAACCAAAGGGATCTGTCGAGGATGGGCGAGTGGGCGTCAACGTGGCAAATGGGGTTCATCATGGGCAAGTGTAAAGTAACTCACATTGAAGCAAAAAAACCCTAACTATAAATACACGTTGAAGGGGTCCGAACTGGCAGAGACTGACCAGGAGAGAGATCTTGGAGTCATAGTAGATAATTCACTGAAAATGTCAATACAGTGTGTGACTGCAATAAAAAAGGCCAATGCTATGCTGGGGGTAATTAGGAAGGAAATTGAAAACAGATCAGCCAATATCATAATGCCCCTATATAAACCGATGGTGCAACCTCATTTGGAATACTGTGTGCAGTTCTGGTCACCACACCTTAAAAAGGATATTATAGCTTTGGAAAAAGGGCAGAAAAAGGGCAACTAGAATGATAAAAGGGTTGGAACCAATGTTCCCTCTAAGCTGCGGAGTCTTGTGAGCAGAAATTCTACTTTGTGAGCTACTGGCATTAAAGCTGTGAGTGAGCGATATGGCTCCTGCATAAATTAGTCTGCTTGGGAGCCATTCTTCCTGAGCTAAGAGAAAAATCTGTGAGCCGGAGGCTAAAAAACTGTGAGCTAGCTCACACTAACTCATCTTAGAGGGAACACTGGTTGGAACACTTTCCCTATGAGGAAAGGTTAAGGCGCTTGGGGCTCTTTAGCGTGGAGAAACAACGACTTAGGGGTGACATGATTGAGGTTTACAAGATTATGCATGAGATAGAGCAGGTCGAGAAAGAAGTACTTTTCTCCCTTTCTCACAACACAAGAACTCGTGGGCACTCCATGAAATTGCTGAGCGGTCGGGTTAGAACGGATAAAAGGAAGTCCTTCTTCACCCAAAGAGTGATTAACACTTGGAATTCACTGCCACAGGAGGTGGTGGCGGCTACAAGCATGGACGGCTTCAAAAGCGAATTAGATAAGCATATTGTTGGATGTTACAAGTTAGAACACTTCTATTTGGTATTTACTGAGTTAATACTGTGTAGTGAATCACATGTTTGTTTGTGACCTAGAGAGCTAGAAAGCCCACCAGATTGAGATCTAGTTTGTTGTTTTGATTGGGGAATGGAGTGGCTAGTATTTAGCATTTTATGACTCTTTGTGCAGAGCAAGAAAAAACTCCAGACTCCATTAGACCTCTGCCATGTAAGGCTGACTGTTCGTTAGTCTGTCTAGATGTGAAGATGTAGAAATAAAGCTCTTTGTTATTTTTCATCCTGTTTACCCTACCCATGCTAGGTTCTAGTAAACTTTTATATTTTAAACTACCATGGACTCAGACTCATTTATACTCTGCTAACTCTGCTGAATTAACTTAAAGAAATTAAACAAACAAAACTCCAATACATATGGAGCAGAAGTCCATCAGTGGCTATTAGCCACAAGGTATAGATAGGGGCTCTGGGGCAAGTGATGCTCTGTCTTCTTGGTGCTTTGGGGGGGGTCAACAGTGGGAGGGCTTCTAATGTCCTGGCCCCACTGCTGGACCTCCCGATGGCACCTGGTGTTTCTGGCCACTGTGTGACACAGAGTGTTGGACTGGATGGGCCTTTGGCCTGATCCAACATTGGCGTCTCTTATGTTCTTATGTTGCCGTAGATTATCCAGGCTTTGTGGCCATGGTTTCTCTCACTATCTCTCTGGATTTGGGAAGGACCCGTAAGGCTTTTTACCCCATCCTTCCTCCAAAGAGCTCATAAGGAGGTGTCTACATGGCTCCCCCGCCCGCTGTTTCATCCACACAGCAACTCTGTGAGGTTGATTAGGCCGAGAGAAAGTGACTGGCTCAAGGTCACCCGGTGACTTCCCGCAGAGGAGCGGGGATTTGAACCTGGGTCTCTTGGAACCGGTCATGCCTCACTAGATCACTCCTCTCTACTGCAAAGCTGAGAAGCAAATGGAATTGTGGACGCAATTTCATGCACCCAGACACCCTTCCTGTCGTGATCAGACAATGGAGAAAAGGGCAACGCTCCCTCTAAGCTGTGGAGGCTTTTGAGCAAAAAATTCTACTTTGTGAGCTGCTGGCATTAACGCTGTGAGTGAGCGATTTGGCTGCTGCATTAATTAGTTTGCTCTGGAGCCCTCCTTCCTGAGCTGAGACAAAAATGTGTGAGCCGGAGGCTAAAAAACTGTGAGATGGCTCACACTAACTTAGCTTAGAGGGAACACAGGAAGGAAGGAAGGAAGGAAGGAAGGAAGGAAGGAAGGAAGGAAGGAAGGAATGCTCCCTCTAAGCAGTGGAGTCTTGTGAGCAAAAAAATCTACTTTGTGAGCTCCTGGCATTAAAGTTGTGAGCGAGCGGTTTGGCTACGGCATAAGTTAGTTTGCTCCGGAGCCATCCTTCCTGAGCTAAGACAATTAAAGTCTGTGAGCTGGAGGCCAAAAAACTGAGCTAGCTCACACCAACTCAGCTTAGAGGGAGCACTGGAAAAGCGCCCCCTACCCCCAAATTCAGGGGCTGGGGAGGGAGACCGCTTCCTGAACCTGGATTCGAGTCCAGCAGCACCTTAGAGACCAACTAGATTTTCGGGGTGTGAGCGTTCGAGAATCAAAGCTCCCTCTGTGAGATCATTTTGCCTCTCCAAAATCTTCTTGGTCTCAGAAGACCTAGGAGACTCGAATCGAGCTGTCCTGTTGCTCTTCCGGCAGTTAAGAAGCCCAACCATGGCAGAAGGCAGGCCTCTGCTGCCTGGGCACTTCAGACAAAGGAAGGTGACGATCCCATGGCGATTGTACACAACAAGGAACCCAGAGGGGGGATTGTTCTGCCACTCTGCCCCGTCAGCAGGCAGCATCCCAAAGCGATGTCTGGAGCAGGGGCACGAGTGGGCAGCAGAAGGATGTGGGTACATGGGTCAAGCAAGCAGCACATGGCACCATAACGGAGGCGATGCAGATCAACCAGGCTACGTTCCATGGTCCGACAGCCGTTGGCAATGATCCCAGAGGCAGAATCCCCCTTCCCAGTCACGGAGTCCAGCCGCACACATACGCCACGCTCACACATGGACCGCCACTCTTCTAGCAGCCTTCACCAGCCAACTTGCACGAGCCGCCATATGTACAGGAGCAAGCTAGTTAGGAGCAGTGCTCCCTCTAAGCTGTGGAGTCTTGTGAGCAAAAATTCTACTTTGTGAGCTCCCGACATTAAAGTTGCGAGTGAGCAATTTGACTACTGCATCAATTAGGCTGCGGTCACACGGAGCATTAGCCACGTTACAGAGACGGAAGATAGGCGGATTTTCCGGGCGCGATCACACAGCAACATCTGGGAAGCGTAGAGCTCCCATGGCGAACCCAAGGCTTCCCGCCGAAGATGCGGGGTAAAAAACTAGTACCTCTGAGGTACTAGTTTCCGGAAACCGCGGGGCAAGGGCTGGCGTCTGATCGCGTTTCCGGTGGTGGCATCCGGCGCCCGCCCATGTCCCTTCGCAAACAGGTTTCCCCCCCAAGTCTCCACAAGATGCGCACAAGCACCCAACGGTGCATGCGCACAAAGAGGAAAGCGAAAGCGCTGTTTCGGCTTAAAAATAAATAAATGACCCCGTTTGACACGGCAGCGGTGCCTAGCCATTGCTGGTGTGATCGCGCCCTGCCGCTTCTTTGCCGTGCTGCAGGATCGTCGTGTGATCGCATTCGCCACCCTCATTTACCCGCCGGCGCGGAGGGATGGACCCATGGTGTGCCGCCATCGCGTCTGATCGCTTAATCGCGGATCAAACTGCGCCGGGGCAATTAGCCATGCCTCCCCCCACGATATCCAGCCCGTGTGACCAGGGCCAAAGTTTGCTCTGGAGCCATCCTTCCTGAGCTGCATGAGCCGGAGGTGAAAAAACTGTGAGCTAGCTCGCACTGACTCCGCTTAGAGGGAACATTGGTGAGGAGGGGAGCCCCAAAGCAGGCCAGATGGGACACTCCCTGAGAGCACAACGAAGCTGCCCCCCTTTCAAGAGGCTCCACTGCAGAGGGGGCCGAAGGGGGCACACAACAACGCACAAGGAAGCGACTCCTCTGCTCCCCCCCCCATCAGATCACAGACAGTGGAACGAATGAAAGGACGGCAGGGAATGCTTGTGCCTGTTTAAGCAAGCACAGGAGTCAGGAAACCAGCGAAGGAATGTCTTGGCCAGCACTCACTTTTCCAGCAAGATTAGCGCCGTCGTTGGGTTCACACGGAGGTATTTGCACGTCGGTTGTCCATAATCGGCCAGATAGGTGGACCAGTCCCACTCGAGGAACAAATCTAAGAGCTGTAAAAACAAGAAGGGAACAAAATAAATGATGATTAGCACAATGTGGACAGAAAGTTTTCTCTCACCACAGAGGTGGTCCTTATACGCAAGACTGTGTTGGAAGAAAGTATTTTTTACATTAACCTTGTTACACCTGCAGAAATGTAGGGTCCAGTATAACCCCAAGACTCTTAACTGAGCCAGCAAGGGGCAGCTGAACCCCATCAAAGGTGAGGAGACCACGATCTCCTTCAAGACTTCTCCTTTCCCAACCAGCATTCCCTCTGTCTTCTCAGGCTTAATTTTTAGTATGTTTTTAATTTTTAGCCATGTAAACACACCAGACAAACAAGTGATTCCAGGACATTTACCACATCAGGAAGAGAGTTAGATAAGGAGATATACAGCTGAGTGTCATCAACACATTGATGACGGTCAACACCAAAACTATGACTGCTATGGTCAGGCCTCACCTGGAGTACTATGTCCAGTTTTGGGCACCACATTTTAGGAAGGATGTTGACAAGCTGGAGCGTGTCCAGAAGAGGGCAACCAGGATGGTGAGAGGGTTGGAATCCAAGTCTTACGAGGAAAGGCTGAAAGAGTTGGGTCTGTTTAGCCTGGGAAAGAGAAGGCTTAGAGGGGACACGATTGCAGTCTTCAAGTATTTGAAGGGCTGTCATGTAGAAGATGGAGCGGATCTATTCTCTCTTGCTCCAGATGGCAAGACTAGATCTAATGGGTGGGAATTACAAGGGAGTCGATACCGGCTAAATATCAGGAGAGACTTCCTAACTGTAAGAGTGGTTGAGAAGTGGAACAGACTGCCTCAGGAGGTGATGGATGCTCCTTCGTTGGACGTTTTCAAGAGGAGGCTGGACGACCCTCTTTCGGGTATGTTGTAGGGCTGTCTTTCGGCTGTGCTCCTGCAGAGTGCAGGGGGTTGGACTAGATGATCCGCGAGGTCCCTTCCAACGCTAACATTCTATGGTTCTATGATTCTATGACTGATTTGTCCCCAGGGCTTTACATAGAGGCTGCACAGCAAGCGGTCTAGGACTGCACTGTGTGGAACCCCACAGGACATATCCCACACTGATGATGACTGGTCTCCAACAACAACCCTCTAAGTTCAGTCTGTGAGGAATGATTTGAACCCCTCAAGCACACATCCCCGGATACCTGCTTCTGTCTCCAGATGCCTCAACAAGATGGTACGGCCCAGTGTATTAAAGGCTAGTTTGGTTAGTGGTTAGCTAGTTTGGTGTAGTGAGAGTCAGTCTGGTGTAGTGGTTAAGTGCGAGGACTCTAATCTGGGAGAACTGGGTTTGATTCCCCACTCCTCCACTTGCACCTGCTGGATGACCTTGGGCAAGCCATAGTTCTGATGAGCTGTCCTTGAAAAAGAGCAGTTGCTGTCAGAGCTCTCTCAGCCCCACCTGCCTCCCAGGGTGCCTGTCGTGGGGAGGGGAAGGGAAAGGAGTTTGTAAGCCGCTCTGAGACTCCTTTGGGTAGTGAAGTGCGGGGCATAAATCCAATCTCTTCTTCTTCTTCTTCTTCTTCTTCTTCTTCTTCTTCTTCTTCTTCTTCTTCTTCTTCTTCTTCTTCTTCTTCTTCTACAGATAAATCCAGTTGAAGGAGCAAAGAATCTTGTCGACAGAACAAAGTTTGAGTCCAGTGGCTCCTTTAAGATCAACAAAGTTTAATTCTGGGTATAAGCTTTTGTGTCCAATACATCGAAACAAAGCTTCCTCAAGCCTTACATATAGGTAGGGAGGTTGCCTCGCAAAGCCACCAGAGTTGACTCCGTCCCACAGCCCCACCTGAGGTCAGACTGAAAAGGGTCCAGAGCAGATGAGTTATCCCAGAAGACCTGGAGCTGGTCCATTACTGCTCTCTCGGTCACTTTACGCTGAAAGGGCAGATTAGAGACTGAGGAGCAGCAGATGGTTGAAGTGGATCTACTAGGGGTTTGTGACCCATCCACCCATCCTTAAGCATGCTGCAGTTTCTCAGTCTGACAGAGAAGAAGCATGTCTGCAAAAGAGCCAGAGGTTCTACACTTTGCTGAGTCTCACAATGCAGGCAGGCTTGCCTGGACCCCGTCCTATGGGGCTGGAAGACACGCTGACTTGGGCCACCTTGCACAGCAAGTCACTGGTGGAGCCGGGAAGAGAACAAGACGATATAGAAAGCTGAGGCAAGACTAGGGACAGAAGTAGTAAGCCCTCGAGAAACAAGAGAACTTCAAGGAACTAAGAACACGAGAGAAGCCATGCTGGATCAGGCCAATGACCCATCCAGTCCAACACTCTGTGTCTCACAGAGGCCAAAACCCAGCTGCCACCCGGAGGTCCAGAAGCCCACCCACTGTTGCCTCCCATGCATCAAGAAGACAGAACATCACTGCCCAATCCCCTCATTAGTCTTCGTCTACGCTTGCAGCCTCCACCGCCACTTCCTGTGGCAGTGAATTCCATACTTTTTGGTCAAGAAAGGCCCCTGCCACACGGCAGGAGAAAAGCCTCTTAAGGCGCGGCTTTTAAAAGCTGCGCCAACGTTGAGGCGCCGCGGCGGGATCCCACGGATCCCCTGGCCGCTGCGCCTTTTCTCCCCGGCGCGATCAAACGCCGGGGAGAAAACACGGCCCGAACGGGAGCCGGCCGAACTGCGCATGTCCGGGCATGCGCAGTTCGGATCCGGGCCGGGGTTGAGCCGAGGCCGCTGCGCCTTTACTCCCCGGCGCGATCAAACGCCGGGGAGAAAACACGGCCCGAACGGGAGCCGGCCGAACTGCGCATGTCCGGGCATGCGCAGTTCGGATCCGGGCCGGGGTTGAGCCG